ATCATAGGTTTGTTGCCAAATTCCACCAATGGCTTGGGCCGACTGAGGGTCAGAGGTCGTAATCGCGTCCCATAACCCCCCACCAATATCAGCGCCTTCATGTTGCCTATGTGGTGGTCCTACGAAAAAATAAAAAAAAAAGAAATTGCACATTTAATTCACGTGTGAACTGAATACCATCTTTAATTTTCGAAATTAAAATGCAAGGGATGCCTTCAACTTTTCACTTGGCTGCAACGAGGTATAATTAAGTAGTCATTTTTAAAAGTAGTTCATTTTAAGGTACTAGTATAAGCATCTTTTAAGTTTTACTGAATGTTTTACACCCAACAACTTTTAAGTAAATGTTTCTAAATCAGGAAAAAAAATGGATTTCAATAGCTTCTTTTCTGTTTATTTAGGCAGTTTCCTAAGTTGAAATAAATACTTTCAACAGCATGGAAAGCTCAGTAAAAAAAATAAAAATTTAATAAATAGGCCAAGGCCAAAGCTACCTCCATCTGCACTAAATGATTCCTATGTTAAAAGCCAAAGAAATAGACAAAGAGAAGAATGAACTAAATCAGTCTGTTTGTTCCATGTTCATTGTGCCCTACAGTCATTTCCGCCCGGAGGCCTCTTCAGGGGCATTATTAACAGATCTAATTAGAAAGAGGCCACTGTCAGCACACTATGGAATATATTCCTTTTGAACTAAATCAAAACTTGACACAAGAACAATGTAAAACTTGATGAAGAAACAGTAAAATATTTCACATTTTCTAAATAAAAGATTTTCATCTAGCTAAAATGTCTATTGCTACAGTAAGCTCTGTGTTCTTGGATAGGGTGACCTCATCTCAGGTACACCTGTGAAATCAGGTGTTCAACACAAGAACTAGAATACACCCACACCCAGACAGCAGTCACCACACAGGTGTAACCTGATCACTGCATCGTCATAGACTACACCCCTTCTGTGTCAGTAATACAGTCAGGATACAACATGTCACTTTGAATAACAACTTAGTCACATCAAACATAAAACAAACATTTTCGGGCAATGGAAGCATGTATGGGAAATAATTATCTTCTCATTCATTGATTTTTCAAAACATAATTTTTAAAATTTTTTAAATTTCAATGTGACAAAGGCCCTACCTTTCTGTAAAGATGACATACATAAAGTTTTTGACCTAGCATCAGATATTTAAAATTGTTCACCAACAATGGGCCCATCATATTTTCATCCCACCTATCCCTGGAAACATCTCCTGGACCATAAAAAAAATGAATATATTTCTCTTTAACCACTGACACTCATATGACAACCTAAATGAGTACTACAGATTGCTTGAATAATTAAATAAACATGAACTCTGTGATCTTCAGCAAACACTTTCTGCACACAAATACAACAACCATTCTTCATCTCAAACCCCAGCATTATAATTCCAACTGAAACTTTAGGTTATATCATAAAAAAACTTAACAAATATTTTATGAACACTGAAATGATAAGCAAAAACATCCATAAAAATAAAAAAATACACTGATTGTATTAATTAAAACAAATGGATAGACACAAACTCATACAACTGCAAAGCATGACAATATGAATTTTGAAAGATACTGAACTAGAGAGGTAGTGCAAGCACCTGTTTCACAGAGGTGTGTGAAGGACGGGACACTTTTTGACCAAATCTGTTGTATGTTCAGTCATACAACCGGGACACACTTCCCATAAGTATCACAGAAACCAAAACCCATCTCTTCAGTATACAAAATCGTTTGTTATGAAGCTACCCATGCCGGTAGACACGTCTCTAACTATTTCTATATCACACGCTCTAATACCAAACACATCCTGTAATTTTTTTTTCATAGTTTATGCCAGTCCATACCTACCTTCATGATGAAGTCAATTTTAGAATCTCTCAGCCGATGTCTTCCCAAGTTGTGAAGTAACTTGTCTACTTGGAGAGATATACTAATGTGTGCTCAAAGCCACGTCAGATTGTGACCCAATTTTCAGAAAGCTCACTTAGGCTTATAAATAACTTAACGTATTTGTGGTGGCATCCGCATTCAATGACATCTTTTATTATGAGTTCATGGCATACATAAAAAATTAGGACAACTTTTCTTTCCGTTTCTTCTATATTTAGAGCAGCAGAATTCTGCTGTGGGCAAAATGAAGCTGTTAATAATTACAAATTTGTATTTAAATTCACAGGTGTATATATATAACACAGTACATCAGTAAGCCTGAACATTAATCATGTAAATATTGAAACAGGTAGAGCAGGTGTCTGTTAATTATACATGACAGAAACACTGGCAATGAGATAAACCTGGTAGATGACATTAACTTTCAGCTACATAACAAAAATGCTTACTCTTAAATATTATGGTTAATTTCATCTAACCATTACTATGTTTTCATTTAAATATTCAAAACATTTTTTGAATTTGAGCATTGTCTTACTTTATCCTCAAAATAATTACTCTCTTATATCCCAAAGACTTATCTTCACATCAGCTTTCTTCCCTAATATATTGTAGTCATTTAGGTGAATCCCTAAATTATGATATTACACTCTATGCAACCTGAGCACACACAAAGTCACTCTCATGTTCCATCTCCATCAGATATAAAATTTTTGACCTTATAATAATGTTCTGTTACCGGGATATCACATCTCACCTGTGTATATATAAGGTTGATCATTATTATAAAACTCCACAACTGAACAAATAGAACTGTTTCAATAGCACTTTATTTATACAGGAAATGGTATTGTATGTCCACACATTCTACCTAAAGTGCTACAATGAATCCTCACAACGTTTACAATGGTCTAATGTGGCTAAAGATTGAAATGAAATGCAACTGCCAACATCTAACAATTCGCCACCGATTTGGTTTTTGAAAAATCACAAATCTGGTTCCACAATAAATGTAGACGAGACCTCAGGCAAAAAATGTTTACACAAGTAAGGTGTGCTACAAAAACACACACACACATGCACGCACACACGCAGTGGTCTCAGCTTGCATACCGCCACTGTATTAACTAGTTGTGGACTTCCAGACATCAGAATGCAGCAGCTGAGCCTACATTATTGAACACTACCAGTGGATCACCTGGCAGCTGTACATACATCTACATGGTACAGCTACAATATATACAATAATAGCTGTATAAACTAGTACATAGAAAATATTCCTGATTTTTGTAACTTTAAAGCAAGAATGTAATGTTATTGTTGTGTTTTTATAAAACAGAACTAACATATTATTGTCATAAACTATATATAAAGACCCAAAAGGTTGATTCCATATTTTAATCAAATAATGTCAAAGTATGATCCTTAGCACTTTCTGTGTTAATAATACCAACCATTAGAGTGAAAGGGGGGAGGGAGAAAGAATTACACAAAAAATGGGCTGCCTAGCAATGCCACTTGCTGAGGACGAGGAGGGGGTTACTGAACACATTTGTTAACTTGATATTAAGGAGAAAACACCTCACAGAGCTAAAAGTTTACGTTATCAGAAACATGAGAAATTTACATATCAGCTTAAATATTGTCATGATGCAGTCTTATGTTATTTTGTGACATAATTAAACAAAGGTGTTTGTGTCAAAGTTGTCAAAGTCTGCAATAGTGATGGTGGTTGCTTTGTTTTTTTCGAGCATTTGAAAAAAGGTAACAAAAAAAAAAGGAGAAAAAGGAATGAAAGGGAAACACTAATAAAACATAAACAAAGCATCTGTTTTGGTCAGCTTTATCTTTATCTCTAACCTGATGATCTTATAATTTTTCTATCAGATGCTACCTAGCAGGAGCGTGTGGTGCCATCTTATCATCATCTATCAGGTTTTTTCATGTGCTACCACATTTGGACCAGTAGCACTTAGGTATTTAAAATTTAACACTGACCACAATTAATCCATGTTTGCTATATAGTCCGTATATAGATGGCTAAAAGCAGGGCTTGACATTAAGGGTGGCCCACTGGCCCTGGGCCACTGAAAACCAACCTAGGGCCATTATATCGATGGGGTCACTGGCCCAAAGAGCAAGTAAAATGTCGTGTGTCAAATCATCCTTGCAACATTTACCGATATCTCGGGCCAGTATCGAAAAAAGTTAGTGTCAAGCCCTGTAAAAGGGGTGTCGTCCATAATACATGTAGTCAACTTCGGGTTAGCAAACAAAAATTACATCACACTTGCACTGAAACAGTTTATCAATAATTTTCCTAAAGTAATGATGATGTTTTAAGAAACCAAATTCTGTTTTCATGTCACCGTTTTAAAAAAGTTTGGTCTTGATATCAGAATTACGTTTAAAATTATGCCAGAACAAATAATAAAAACTACAGCTAAACTAGTATACAGTAAAATATAATCTTTCATATTCATTTAATGTTTTTTCTATGACATTTTCTGTGTCTGTTCATTTTCTCAATTTCTAGCTTAAATATCTTTTAATAAGGAGACAGCCATTAAGTGCATTCAGACCTGCTAAATCGACCTGTCACAACAACTTTTTCTGAAAGCGGTGATATTAACGTGTCTAACCCTCATATTATGTGTTCATTGTTGTCCCAGAGCAAGAACTATGAAAAGCATACATGAAATAAGAAAACACTTATATTTTCCGTTTACAAAACATGAATGTGGTCTATATATCGTAAACAGGAGTGCCAGCGATTACAAGTCGTTTTTTTTTTTGTGGCTCGCATCTATTCGCAGGCAATGGAGAAAGTGAGCAACCGGCAAATTTCATAAATAGTTCATCAGAGCAGATTTCACTAAAAAGACCTACGCTTGTCACAGTTGGCGACATATACACTCTATGAACAAATCCTGGTGCCTATGGCATTTAAGAACTCGTTAAAACTCACCTAATTTATTATTAATGTTGGGGTGTTTACAGTAGTTGTGCTGTGCCACGACTTCTCGAAGTGAAAACGAGACTCGTGCACGCATGCGCATGGGAAACCGGAAATCAAAGGGTGATTCACACGGAAACAGCGATCTTGGGAATTTCCAGGACTTCATTGCAAGAATATCCATTTAAAGTCTATACGTTTTCAGAGGACGCAGGATCTGAAGCAGCCCAGAACTGGTCGTGGAGACACCACAACGATTGATGGCGGAAGCCGGAAATTCAGCCCAGGCGATCAAGCCTGGGTTCTACCGTCTTGAACTTAACAAAGCGGTCTGGGAGGTTCCCGAACGTTACCAAATGCTGCAGCCCGTGGGATCAGGCGCCTATGGACAAGTTTGGTACGTGTGTGCTTGATTTAATTTGTCATCTGTACTTAACACTTGCTCGACTCGCAGACGTCTCTGCAGAATATTATACACCGAAAAACTTCCTTGCTTATGTTTACTGTAGCAGTACAGAACCGACTCCTTCGTCATTTTGACCTTTAAGTTGGCCCACTTAGGTGGTGTTGTAGTACTACGCGTTGATTTTGCTTTCTGTTTAAAACTTTCCCGTATTCCAGTTATTTTTGGAAAAAATAGTAATGCACAAACTGCTTAAATGCAGCAGACAGAATCCAAGAACTGTACCTAAATTTTCCTCTAATTAAATTTGACTGTAAAAAGTTTTCAAAAAAATGTTAAAATGAATTGATAGAGAAAAGTTTTTTTCTGAAGCAGTAGATCTGTAGTTGACACATAAGTGGACACTACTATCACATTGAACAACACAACTGGAATAATGTTCTACAGTTTAACATAAAGTGAAAACAATTTTTATCATCTCTACATCCGCTTTTTAATTGATAATAAATGAAAGTTTGTTTACTTATCACTTTCACATTCAGTGAGACTTTTGTCAGTTACCAAAGCAGTTTCATTTCACCATTGGCATTTATTTATAGAGAATTCTTAGCCATGTGAGTCATTGTTGCTGGCAAATATATATGGAAAATCTTAGGATGCAATTAGCCAAGTTGTGCTACAGTATATTATATAATTAAAAAAAAAAAACAATTCTGCTGTGAGATTTTCAAGACAACCTCTAACTGGCACACATCAAGCATGTAGCATATGTTGTATAACAGTTTGTTTGTATATACTGATAAAAAACAATCTCCCAGAACTAATAAGCTTCCTGCATTGTTAAATGCCCTTATTCATCCCAACAACCCCTTCTCTTATCACAACTCTTGATTTTTTACAAGATATTCACAGCCTATGTTTTTAAATAAATAGACTGTCATTTGGTTCTCTGCACAATTTGCCTAAAAATATCTACCACCCTGGTAGAGGGTAGGTTCAAAGATCTTGGTAGAACTCCAGTCAAAACTGTGCCTGGTGCCTGTTAATATATAGTAGCTGTATTCACAGCATAACTTCATAATTGTTATAAATACTTATTTATTATAACTGTTTTATTTTCAGCTCAGCAGTAGACACACACAGCTCCCAAAAAGTGGCCATAAAAAAGCTGGCAAGGCCGTTCCAGTCTCCCATCCACGCCAAGAGGACGTACAGGGAAATACGCATGTTGAAACATATGAACCATGAAAACGTGAGTGGAATACTACTGTTTGTAGCACTCTACTTCCTGGTTTTTGTTAAGCACATTAGAAATTGTTTCTGTCATGCTGAATCTTTTTGAAGCAAGACAGCCTAAAGCTGATCTATAAATTATAATCTTTTCTGTTACTTCATGAGAAATTACTCCTTTGAACCATTGTATTCTCATTGTTCATTTTTGTATTTAGGGTAAAAACTTGAAAATTTGGGCAGTCTTGAAAATTGTGTTGGAGGATGATTCTTAGCCAACATATTTTTATTTTGAAACTTAAAAGTCACACCGGAAAATCGGCATGTTGATCATTTTGAGAAGTTTGTCAGGTAATATGACCATGTTGGATTAAATTTCCAAGTTTTACCATACTTGTGCTTTTCTGTACAACTACATCTCCACTATCTATAGTCTTGTAAAGGTCAATTGTGATGTATTAAATGGATAAGTGGCCAATGTATTGATCTTACAATACATATCCATCAATACTATGCCTGTGATCTTAATGTACACATTGTGGTAACTTGGGTATTACGTAAACAAGGAAGGCTTGAAACTAGATTTATTTGAATCTTTTTTTACATGCTGTGCAGACAAGTAGGTCTGTAAGTTGTTGTAGATTTAATCTTCTTTTTCTCCTTTCATTTTCTGCTCCCTACCATATTTTTTTTTTTTTGCAAATTGGCAAATTCTGTCATTGTTTCTGTTTGGTCTGGACCTAGTTTTATGACTGAAAACACAAAACAATCTAACAGCCATACAGTGATACTAGAGTGGACTAGAATTTTAAGAAAAAAAAAGTGTCCATTTGTTCGACCAGGAATTCCTGCCTACAATAAAAATCTCTTTAGACAAGAACATTAAGTGAATGAAACTGTAGATGGACTACTAGTAAAGGGACATAGATATATCAGACCCAGGTCATGACCATTTGTTTATTGTATCTGATGAGGACAATCTGACACACTGGCTTCCTGACCAAAACAGCTATGAAATTTCAATCTGTACTGTAACCAAAGAAGCCATAATTAAGATCAAATGTTAGGAGTTCCTGATATCCCATCTACAATAAGAATCTGTTTTGATAAGAGCATGAAGTTCATCAAACTGTGGAAGAACCAGGGACATTAAATGTTTGAAGTGCAGGTCATGACCAGGCCAGACATATGGGGACAAGGTCAAGATTTTGTTGACTGCAATGTTCATGATTGTCCCTGTATGAAAGGTGCTTTTGCTGTGATATAACATGCTCCTAGATAAAATATATGTTATATAACTACTTTTTGATAGGACCACTTCAGACTTATTTCAGGTCAGAGAAGACAACATTTTTGCTATAAACGTTTAGACTGGTTTTTGGGCTAAGGATCTTTTGTAAAACTGGCCCCTGCTGGAGACATATGTAAGCTCTAAGATCACATTCAGATTCATACATTTTAATAGCAAGGTTGCCCCAACTCTACAGGGGATTCTTGCTAAACTGCTATCAGTGAAATCAGTTTAGTTGTCTGACACGCTTTCTTAAGCAGCTTTGGGGTAATTAACTGTTGTGTGCTGATTATGCTGATTCCACTGATTGCATTTATCGAGAATTCCCTGCAGAGTTGGACAGACCCAGCTAGTACGATGGACTAATCTGAATGGGCCCTAAAGTAATCTGGATTTGAACCTTTTCTGTACCTCTCTTACTTTCTTCTATATTGTTACTGTTGTTAAGGACTTTGGTTTATAAAAAGTATTATTGTGGGAACATCATGTAATATAAGATAAGAGAAAACACAGTCGAGTTGGGTATTAATCAGGTGTGGAAGTACACTAATAATGTACAGCATGCAATCTATGGAGGTTTCTGTGATTTATTTTGTATAGTTCTGGGTCAGCTGAGAGGTGCATTCAGACCATACAATCCTTGAGCTGAAAAAAAGCATTACCAGTTATATCCACTAAATACTGTAGTAAAAGATGTTATTTTAATAAGTGATATTTTTCTTTTGTTTCCAGATAATTGGCCTGTTAGATGTGTTTACTCCCACAGATACATTGGAGGAGTTTCAAGATGTGTGAGTATCAGTAGTCCTAATGGGAGAGTGGGACAAAGTTCCTATAGGAGAGTGGGACATAGTTGTAATAGGAGAGTGGGACATAGTTGTAATAGGAGAGTGGGACAAAGTCATTATTGGAGAGTGGGACACAGTCGTGACTGGAGAGTGAGACAGTCATAATGGGAGAGTGGGACATGGCTGTGGTGGGATATGGGGCTTGGTCGTGACTGGAGAGTGGGACATAGCCATAATAGGAGATTGGGACAAAGTCTTACTGAGAAGATCTGAAATTTGTAAAATCATGCTAGTTCTGTGAATAAGTGGAATAATGTGGCAATAACAGGGCACCTGAGGGTGGATGACTTTGTACAAGAAGACAACTTAGAATTTGATGTAAACATGTTTATAAGTGATATCCAGGCAGAGTGTGTAGGCATGTGTTTGGGACTGTCCTAGATAGGTTTCATCATTGTGATTAATTTCCTACAAAATATCAGGGAGTCCCGGCCCATCATTTTGCTAAAAAAAAATTCATAAGCCATCCAGCCTTCTTTGAAAATTAAGGCAGACCAGTAATGCTGGTGGCTGTCCAAATGATGGCTGGATGGCTAGCTGGGAAAAGCCTTGATCACAGTGACATTTCACACTAAACC